TGAGACAGAGTCTCACTATGTCGCCCTCGGTAGAGGGCTGTGGCATCACAGCTCACAGCAACCTCAAACTCTTGGGCTTAAGTGAGTCTCTTGTCTCAGCCTCCCAAGTAGTTGGGACTACAGGCATCCACCACAACACCTGGCTAATTTTTGGTTGTAGTTGTCATTGTTTGGCAGGCCTGGCCCAGGCTGGAACCCACCACCTTCAGTGTATGTGGCCAGGTGCCCTAGCTGCTGGGCTACAGGTGCCAAGCCGACCAGAGGGAATTCAGGTTGCGGGTAGAATTGAGGCTGCTAATCAGATAACTTTGAGATGGGAGATTATCCTAGATGTCAGGGAGGGACCACTGTAATCACAAGGAGCCAGAAGAGGGAGAACTGGAGAAGGATTTAATCTGCTATGGCTTTCTTGGAGAAAAAGGGCCCTCAGTCCAGAAACTGGAGAAGGATTTAATCTGCTATGGCTTTCTCTATGGAGAAAAAGGGCCCTCAGTCCAGAAACTGGAGAAGGATTTAATCTGCTATGGCTTTCTCTATGGAGAAAAAGGGCCCTCAGTCCAGAAACAAGGGTAACATCCAGAAGCTGGAAAAATGCAAGGGAATAATTATTCTATTTTGTAGAGCCTCCACAAGGAAGGTAGCATTGCAATTTTAGACTAGTTAGACACATTTCAAACTTCTGATTGCCAGAATTGTAAGATAACAAATTTGAGTTGTTTTAAACCACTAAGTGGCAATTTGTCAGACTGTCAATAGGAAACTTATAATGGTAGGAGTATGCTAGGAATGTGCCTGGTCATATCAACATCTTTCTAGAGTATCATTTAAAGCATTATTTTAATATTAAGCATGTGAAATAGAATGAAAATTTACCATTAACTTTGAAGGGAAGCACAGGATTTCAGAATTTCCATTTGGGAGCTGTTTCAAGCCCTGTGCCCCATTCCCCTCTCCTCCACTGCCAGATGGAAGTGTTTACAAGTTTATCTCAGAGCTGTAAGCAGTGATGACTAGGCTGCCACCATTCTCATTCCTAGAGAATGTTGCATGTAGGTCTTTCTTTTAACTTAATATTTTAAAATCCACATCTCCAAAGATGCGATCATTAGAATTTTATTTACAGATTCAAAAATACTGTGTGTCAGAGGATGATAATACCTAATATTTTACAATCCGTCCACAGCACGTCTTTATTTGGGGCTTAGGACAGTCTTGTGAAGAAAGCTTGTTGTCCTCACTGGTCAGAGGAGGAAGCTTGTGGGGTTTGTCCAAGGTCATGAGGATGGAGAGGCTGTGGTGACAAGGATTCCTTAGTTTGTGTCCGTGCATTCAGTGCTCTTTCCATGCAGCAGGTGACTGCCAGGCACATCACTGAAGGGCTTTCTCTGGGGCAGACCACTTAGGAACCAGTCCAAACTCACTGGGCTGCCACAGTGTTAGCACCGAACTGGCACAGCCCCTGAGCTTGCACAGCTGCACGGAGGCTGTCCTGGTTTAGGTGTCGATGCTTTCATTCTGACTGTGACACCGTAACCTGCCCCTTCTCCTCCTATGATGGGGCCTGTTCTCATGAAAGGATCACTTTGACAAAAGAGAGCACAGACGATATGCAAGAGTGGGACAGGACTTCCGATAACAGCCGAGACCATCTGTCACTGTGGCCGGGGTGCTGCTGGCTCAAACAGGGAGCATAAAGCGGTGGGGCTGGAGTCTCTCACTCTCCTCTGGGGTCAAGATCAGAGACCCTCTTCTGCTTTTTCTCAACAGCCTTCTTCTCACTTTCCAGCAGCAGATTAGCAGGGCCCCAGTATCGGAAGCCACAGTTCTGTTTTTGCCATCAGACTCTTGTGCCTAGTCATAGAGGGTTTTGTTTTGTGTGGATTTATCATTAACATGAACATTAACATTTTTTTTCCTTTTTTACTACAGAGAGGATATTTTTCCTTTTCCATTATCTCTCTCTCACTCAGTTCAGGGTCTGTACTTTCTATCATCTTTTTCAAAACATCTTTTCAAAGATGCCCCTCTCTGACCACCTCCGTATTATAACTATCAGCCTTTCACAGTCCCATTGTTTTTACTCTCCACCTTTTTACCCCCCTCTAGTCACATATTTGTAATACTTCTCACATCTAAAATATTGCATTTTTTTTTCATTTTTTCCCTGCCTCTCCTACCCAGAACATTAGTAGGGGCAGGTGTGATGTCTCCCTTGTTCACTGTTGCAGGCCTGGTGCCTGCACAAGTGCCTGGTGCAAAGCAATGCTCAGTAAATATTTGTTGAATGACCTGTTGAAATTTTTTTTTTAATTATCATAAGGGTACATCCGATTAGGATTGTTTGCATTTGTAAGGTAAAGCCTGAGTTATGAATTGCTGAATTCTTTTATGTCTCATGCAACCCTGGGCCGGCCATAGAAAAGACCCTAATGAGATAAAAATCAAGGAGCCATAAGGAGGGAGATAAAACTCTTAAGTTGCTTGTGTTGTGGTCAACGTTTCTAGTTTTTGATTGAATGATTGGGAGAAGGACATGGACAGGGAAGTGTCAGAAGCATCCAGTCAGTACTGCTCTAAGACCCTGGAATGAAGTTCCCAAGCAGTGTCAGCTGGTCCCAGGGCAAGAGTCCTCACCTACCTGGACCTCCCTCCTCGAGAAAGAAGTGGAGGCAATCACACGTGAGCTCCAGCCTGCTCAGATCACAGTCACCTAAGAAATGCAAAGTCTTCCTTTAATTTATTTAGTTAATTGGGGGATAGAGATTGGAGACAATGCTCTGAATCTGTTTTTTGAGATCCACTGATTTGTTATAAGTTTGTTCCCAAAACTGGTAAAAGAACAATTGAATAGATCCATCTGTATCCCAGTGACCTTGTTTACTTCTATTTTCACAGCTTTTGTCCTTCTGGAAAACTTCCAGTTATTGTTTAAGATCTAAATCAAATGTCTCCTCCTCTATGAAAGTTTCCCTGAATCATTCCACAGAGAGATTATTCAGGGCCTCTCGGTGCTATCATCATTGCTACCATTGGTCTCATCATCCTGTTCATTTCAATAACCATGTTTGTTATTAGATCTGTTATTAGACCTTCCTTTGTGAGATACTATTCAATTATACATGTTTTGTCTTCATTCAGGCACTCTGATTGTTCTGAAACATCCCTATCCAAGAAAAGTGGAAGAACCTTCCATTTATGAATCTGTCCGGGTTCACACAGCAATGCAGACAGGAAAAACAGAAGATGACCTCGTGCCCACTGCGCCTTCTGTGAGTGCCCATTGATTGGACTGCAAGCTCTCTCATTGCCTGAAAGCACTCAAGGGCAATAAAAGTTCATTTGTGGACATAAAATTTCCAGCTTGGGATGTAAAATTTAGAAAAAAATATAAGATTTGAAGTCTGCAACTCAGTTCATCTGGTCCAGGGTAAATCATAAAAAATACAATGCAATACTGATAGGATTTTAAATATTTAGAAAATGACCTTAGTTAACCAAAACAAGTTTTTGGAAGAATGGGCATGAGATGTTTCTGTTCACATAGCTGACTAAATAGTTATTCTTCAATAATATTCTTCAGTGAAGAAAACTTTTGTTTTTTACATTTCAACTATCTCTGGAAGAAAAAAATATTTACCACCTTTACTATAAAAACATGGGTGTTAATTTTTTGGAAGCATTTTTTCCCTTCACTGACCGAAGTACACAGACAGAAAACATTTGCACTTGTTTGTAGCCCGAGCCATTGTTGGTTTTCAGTGCAACTGGGGCACTCATTGTCCTTCTGCGAGTCCATTTGTGTTTGTTCTGCCAACTGTGACTCTGCAAAGATTTCTCTCCAGCACCTCCTTCCTTCATTATCCTCGGGGCCCTTCTATTCATTGTTTCTTTCTTGTTTGCTGACAACTTCTGGTATAAGAAATCTGGATTTGTATAAATGATGGAGATGACAATACTAAATGAAATGTCAAGAAAAATCCTAGATAGCAATCATTAATTGCTCTTTCAAAATAATCAGTTGAAGACATTGAGCTACAAATGGTATTAAAATTAGTGTGGGCTTTTGTCTCTGTAGGCCTTTTTCCTACCCTGCCACCAGAGAGATCTCTCTTAAAAAGCAGACAGCACGTGAGCTCCCTGGTTAACAGCCTTCCGTGGTGTCCTTGGTGCTCACGGGCTCCCCTGGGCCCTGCTCGCCTCTCTGACCTCATCCCATACTACTCCCACATTCTGCTGTGACACTGTCTCTCTCAACAATGTGCATTTCTCTGAGTGTGCGCTTTCCCCCTCCTTCCCTCTGAAGTGCTACAAACACCATTTCATCCCTCAAGACCAGCATGAGGGGTCGGAATCTTCCAGGATGCCCTCCTGGACCCCACTAGCTTCTTTTTATATGCCCTTCTTCTGTGCTCCAGAGTGCACTCTGTCTGCCTTTGTCCTAGAATTACAATGCTGTAGGCTAACTGTGGCGGTTGTCTTTGTAGCTTACAGCCTAGCCATGTTCAGGGCACATCTTACATTTTGCTCCCATGCTGCCATTCCTCAAAAATAAAAATCCTTAGCCAGCATGGTGGCGTACACCTGTAATCCCCTCCCCCTTGGGAGGCCTAGGTGGGAGCATCTCCTTATTTAGGCCAGGAATTTTTTCTTTTTTTCGAGACACACTATGTCACCCTCAGTAGAGTGCAGTGATGTCACAGGTCACAGCAACCTCAAACTCTTGGACTTAAGCAATTCTCTTGCCTCAGCCTCCTGAGTAGCTGGGACTACAGGTGCCTGCCATAATGCCCAGCTATTTTTTTGTTGCAGCTGTCACTGCTGTTTAGCAGGCCTGGCTGGGTTCGAACCTGCCAGCCTGGGTGTATGTGACTGGCACCCTACCAACTGGGCTACCCTCACTGCCCTAGGCCAGGAATTTGAGGCTAGCCTGGGCAACATAGCAAGCCCCCCATATCTAGAAATATTAAAAAAAAAAATTTAGCTGGGCATGGTGGCACACACCTGTGGTCCCAGCTACTCAGGATGCTGAGATAGGAAGATGACTCAAGCCCAGGAGTTGGAGGTTACAAAGAGCTACGATAGTGCAACTGGACTCCAGCCTCTGTGACAGAGCAACACCCTGTCTCTGAAAAATACAGTAAAATAAAATAAAATAGTAAATTCCTGGAAATTGAGAAAGATATTTTGACTTTGTTAGAGTTGGGGGAGGAAGCTTCATACCTCAAAACTTGAGAAATTTAGGAAAGCAAGATGATAAATAATCCAGTAGCAAAAGAGGCTAATGAGCAGATCACCACCTGCCCTCTAACGAATTCTTGCTTTCCAGTTGACCAGTCCCTTTATAGTTTCCTCTTTACTTGTCCTTGCCCACCACCAATCACTGCAACATCTCTTTCATTTGCACTTTGAGCTTAATTTCACATTCTCCTAAATATCTCCACTCAAGGTCAGGCAAACCATTCCCTACTAAATGCGTCCTTTGTCAATAGTAAAATGTAGATAATACCTACTTTGCAGAGTTGGTGTGAGCATCAGATAAAGCACACATAGGTAGAAATAGGCCTCTCTACTAGATCAGATTTACCTCCTTTGCTCACTCCAGGTATCATATGGATGCATCTGCCCCAGTATCTAAATATGGCAGCACATAGAAGGGTTCTTTATAAGGGAGCAATTAAAATAGCAGTGAGTGATTAGTCAAGAATGACTGATCTGGCTCAGCATCTGTAGCACAGTGGTTACAGTGCCGACCATGTGCACCGAGGCTGGCAAGTTCGAACCCATCCTGGGCCAGCTAAATAACAATGACAACTACAACAAAAAAAATTAGCCAGGCGTTATGGTGGGTGCCTATAGTCCCAGCTACTTGGGAGGCTGAGGCAAGAGAATCGCTTAAGCCCAAGAGTTGAAAGGTTGCTGTGAGCTATGAGGCCATGGCACTATAATGAGGGCAACATAGTGAGACTCTGTCTCAAAAAAAAAAAAAAAAATGGAATGACTGAACTCACATCATGTAATGAGAAGCCCATGCTGTTTATAGTGTATCAATATGAAAAGAAAGTAGCTATAAAGGCTTTCTGGTAGACACGAAATGTCTCTCATTATTTCTCACTATGGAATCACTGGTGACTAGATCAGCATGGCTGAAAAAAGGATTCTGGTCTGACCAGAATGCTCTCGTCCTTCACTGAACACTCAGACTTCCTTGGGTACCCCAAATGGCCCCATGTTGTGGTACCTCTGTTTCCAACCTGGGAGTTCTGAGGGTTTTCAGACTTCTGCTTTCTCTTTTGGGATGCAGTTATTGCATAGCTCCAGCAGTGGAGGAAGAGAATTGAAAGAACTTCTCAGTTGAAGTGAAAATGAAAGATGTCCCATTGCCCAGAAATGCAGGTGGTTGTGTAAAACTGTTTAACATTCTTAGGCAATGGCGTTTGGGGAAATTACTATTTTATAAACAAGGTAGAATTGACTTCCTGAGATAGGGTTTAGTTAATTAATGGATTAATTAATTTAGAAGCAGGGTCTCACTCCATCACCTGGTGTAGAGTGGAGCAGCATAATCACAGCTCACAGCAACTTCAGACTGCTGGGCTCCAGTGATCCTCCTGGGCTGCTAGCCTCTTGAGTAGCTGGGACTACAGGCATATACCATCTGGCTAATTGTTTTATTCTTATTTTGGTAGGAATGATGTCTTATATATTGACCAGGCTGGTCTTGCACTTCTGGCCTCAAGAGAGTCTTCCCTCTCTGCCTCTCAAAATGCTAGGATTATAGGCATGAGCTACCATGTCCAGCCTAATTAATTTATTATGTAAACTTTATTAAAAGTGCCTCTAAGAGAATCAGCATTGTTTGTTTTAATCACTGGGAGTTTGGCAGCAAATTAGGCAAAGACTTTCCCTTCACTGGGCTCACGTTCTAGTGGGGGATTACAGACAATAATCAATGTATTACTATAATACCAGATAGTAATAAGTCATAAACAGAAAAAGTAGAATAAAGGAAGAAGAGAGAAGAAGGGGAAGCCTCTCTGAGGAGGTAATGTCTGATCAGAGACTTCACTGAAGGGAAGGAGAGACTCATGTCAAGATGTGGGCGCTAAATTCAGATGTCTCAAAGGCCTAAATTCAGATGTCTCAAAGGCCAGAAAGAAGATCAAGATGACTGAAGGAAGTGAGCTAGAGAGAAAGTGGTGGAAGATGAGATAATTGAGGTAAGGAGAGGCCAGGTCATGTAAGGCAATGCAGTTCTTAAACAGCAGTACCTTCCAGCTGAGTGTTGAGAAATTTATGAGAATGTATTAGTTGGCAAAATGCTCGGGGCGCTACTAGCATTAGTGGATGTTAAGAACCACAAAGAGCCTGATAATTCATCCTAGTGCAAGCCAACACATTACCCTGCCACAGTTTCAGGGATGTTGATGTTGATGGAAGACACAAGACTTTTGAGTCAGAGATGCAAGATAGTTTGTTACTCACAGCAATAGGAGTAGCCAGAATATTAGAATTGGTGCCAAGTTGTAATTCCCCGAGGGCAATATTAAAAGGGCCAGGGGATACCCGTAGTGACTTACCTTACAAGAGAGAAACCCTGAGCCTAGAAAACTCAAGTCTGTGTTTTGCTCTAGAGCAGTGGTTCTCAACCTTCCCAATGCCGTGACCCTTTAATACAGTTCCTCATGTTGTGGTGACCCCCAACCATAAAATTATTTCTTTGCCCTAGAGAGAGACATTATTTCTATCTTCCAAGGCTGTCTGTTATACAAATGTGCTTTTAAAATTGGTTTGTAAAAATAGCTGTTAGTGCCTTGCTCATAAGACATATAGAAACAAAAGAGACCCATAGAGAATTGTTTCCCAATTCCCAGTTGGTTCAGGATCATGGAGGATAAATATCCTGTGATTCATGGTGAGGAATGATTCTGCCAAGACCATGTGTTTTTTACATGTTATAACATGAAAGGTCTTGTAGCAAAGATAAAGAATTTATTTTTGTACTAAATGATGGTAAGAAATTATAAGAGAGTTTTGAGTAAGTTTTTAAATCTTTAAAAAAGGTTCTTCTCACTGCTAAGTGGTAAATAGAATGAGGGAAAAGTTGGAGGCAAAGAGAGGAATTACGAGGCTGTGACAGGTAAGAGGGGGTAGTTGCTAAACCTGGAGAGAAGGGAGCAGAAGAGCTGGTAATTAAGATGTGGGGAAGGAGGAAAAGCCAGTCAACTTTAGGATGTGTTTTGAAGGTAGAAGAGATGAGACTTACTGATGGGTCGAATGTGATTTGTGAAGGAAGAACAGTAGGATAGATAGTCCTGCCATTTCTTGAGATGGGTTTGGAGTATGGGAAAGAGGAGTTCTGTTCTGGACATGTTAAGTGTGAAATGCCAAGAACTCTAACGACTGGCAGAGAGAACCTGAAATCCTGTGTTTCAGGTTCCTGACATAGACCAGGTCCTATCTAAAATGTCAGTTTCCTTAGCTTCCTTCCCTTTTGTGGTATTTGACAGTTTTAACAACTCCTTCCTTCTAAAAATTCTGTTTCTTTTGCTTCTGCAAACATCTTTCTGCCTTTACTCTGTAATCTCTGACACAGTTCATAGTTCCTCTTCTTGGACACCTTCCTTGCATATTGGCCTTTTCCAGTATTTTGTTCTTGAAGCTCTTCTCACTTCACATTTTGGTGTTTATCCTTCCAATCTTTTTCTTGAATGTATACATATGTATGCACACATCCATATGTAACATAATGAGCTCCTCACTACAGACAGAGCTATCATGGGCCTGTTTCATTAATTATATGTTATAAATATCGTCCATGTCATCACAAAGTTTTCTAAAACACCACTAAATAAATTCCATTATTTGGGTGTATCAGTTTATTTAATCCTATATTCTATTTTTACATGCAATTTTTTTTAATTTGAATTGCTTCCAAAGTTGCAGCATAATTGCAAGCCTAGTGCAAAGAGCTCTGCTTTTCCTGAGCCCTTTGACAGTCAGTTGCTGCACGGTGCCCCATCAGTGTGTGTTTCCCACCAGCAAGGACCCTGGTTGGCCACATAGATCATTCAAGCTTGAAAATTAACAGTGATATCTTGGCACCATCCCACCCACAGGTCTCATTGGAGTTTCACCAGTTTCTCCCAAAAACATCCTTTTAGAGCAAAAGGACCCAGTCCCCAGTGACGAGCTGCCCTATTTTATTTCTTCTCTGCAGAGCTCTTCACTCTGGAACACACCTCCCCGGGTTCTCCTTAATGCTGAGACACTTCTGAAACCTTAAGTCCAGCTATTTTGTAAATTGTTCTTCAATTCTGATTTGTCTGATGTTGAATCATGATTAGATCTGGGTTTTGCATTTTCATAGAATTTCCACAAAAGTGATTTCTTTGCACGTCTCCCTGTGTCCGCTCACGCAGAACATGATTTCAATTCCTCCATTATGGTGTTTTTGATACTGAAGTGGTGCCTGCCAAGTCTCTTCACTCTAAAATCATTCTATGTCCTGAGTTATTAATACATATCTGGGGAGAGGTTGAGAGTATGTAAACATCCTATTCCACATTTAGCTTTTATCCACCAATTTTAGATTCATTGACATTTCTTGGCTGCTTTAATCATTGCTACTATTACTGCAAATCAGTGATTCTCTGATTCTATTATTACTTTTATATGTATTGGTTTTAATTCTACTATAAGGAAAAGCTTCCTATCTTCTGCATTTATTCAATCATTAATATTTACATTGAACAGTTATGGTCATGACTGTCATTATTTATTTTGATCCTTCCAATTTTCCCACTTTGGCCAGTCAGAGCCTTGTCAGGGTGGCATCTGTGTTCATATGGCCTCATTCATAATTCTTAGAGAAGATTCTTACTTTCTGTCACAGCAAGATGTTTCAGGCTTTTCTTGTACTTTCCTTATGCCCAGCTCTAGGATCAGCTATTTCTCCAAGAAATTTTTTCTTTTCTTCTGCAGAATGGTACTTTACAAATCAACATCTGGGTATACTAGTTGCTTAAAGCTATTGAGCTGTTACTCTTTCAGCCCACTCAGCAAGCAGAGCTAAGATGTGTGTTTGTATCTATACATGTATACGTACACGACACACACAGGTGCACATGAGTTCACACTGGTCCTGCGTACCTCCAATGCTAACCTGGCACTGCAGGTGCGGCCAGCCTCCCCACTTTGCACACTTGTAGCTCCTTTCTCCCAAAGTGGGGAGTGTGGATCCCATCACCCTCAGTACAATGTTTGCATTTTCATTGTCATGCCACCCCCCATTTGTGCTTCTTTACCCACACCCTGCCCTTTGGGTGGAAAGCTTCACACCCTGCCAGGCTTTAACTCCTTGAACTAAGCTGCTGCCACCACCATCCACAGATGCTCCCTGTATCTTGCCTGGGCTCCACCACCCTGCACCAAGGTGAGGTGCCCTTCACACCTCACACCGGTGCTGACCTTAATTTACCCACCTGATTACTTTTGACTACATTAAGGCAGGAGGGCAAGCCAGGCAGGAAGGCAGGACAGCCTACCTTTCATTTCTAAGGCTTTAGGTTGTATCCCACCTGGGGTTCTTATAAACATCTCTCTTGTCACAGATTATTGCATTTTTTAAAGATAAATCTGCTATATATCACTTAATGTCTTATATCCTGAAACCCTAAATAAAAGTAATAGGCTCAGGTTTAGCCTCTATAAGATTCCATTTATCTATCCAAACCTTAGAAAAATACTAATAGTATATTGTTGGGAAGGAGGTAAGGGGAAGTGCGCAGCAGTGCTCATTAGCTTCATTTCAGTGATTAATTCTACCAGGGTCTTCTATATGGACAACCTTTGCCTTTAATTTTTTTTTGTCTCTACAGACATTAACCTGCAAAACCTACTTTTGCAATTCTGTAATACAATGCCTCAACTCAGTTCAGCTGGTTCAATTCTCTAATGTCAAAATAAATCAAACTGAGTATTTGACATCAAATTCACCAATATTGTTTGACATTATCTAAAGGAACACTTGTGTATTTTGTTCTTACTTTTATGCCAGAAGAATTTTAAAAGAAACAATTTTACATTATTTCTTGCTTTAACTCTTTTTACTGTGGTGGTGGTGGTGGTGCTTTCATTTATTTTTTTTTTTTTTTTACAGTTTTTGGCCAAGGCTGGGTTTGAACCCGCCATCTCTGGCATATGGTGCCCTACTCCTTTGAGCCACAGGCACTGCCCTGGTTCCTCTTTTTATTTGGTAGAGAGAATTCACCTCAGGAAAAACATACTCTGGAAACTCCCATAAAAAGAACCTTGACATCATCCGAGTCATTTCCCAGTTTTTATTAACTTCTTTTCTTGCTCAGACATGTTATGACATCATATTAGAAAACATTAGAATTCAGTTCCTTGACGTCAGGGTGCTCGTCCTATGCAAATTCTATTCACAAGCTTCCCCACCATTCCTTGTTTTTTATAGATGCTAGCTAAGTGTGTGATATTGTTGTCATCTCGGAATGAATGATGTGATTTTAAAGAAGCCACTCATTCTAATTTCAAATCTCTGTTGAATAAATCAGCTGTAAGTAAATCTGCAGTTCTGATAGTCTGTCTCTCCGAGATAGACAGTCTCTCAAAGGAGAGTCTGGGTGGGGAAAGAAGAGAGTCTGGGTGGGAAAAATAGGTGGGGAAGAAGATTAGGTGATAATGTAAGTGTTGGAAATTCTCTTTCTCAGGTACCCTCTTAAAAATTCACAAAGCGTATCAGTGTAGTACAGAGTCTGGGACGCCTCCAGCTTAAAAAAAAAAAATCCTTTTATTTTCTTAATCCAGTTTCCCAGATGTATTGACCATCCATGGGCGTGCACATGCCAGCTCAGGTGCTGATACTGTTGCCACCCTCCAAGGGCTGGCTTTCACATGACACCTTGTGACAAACACAGACTTTCCTAAGTGAGATGATGTGGTTTGTTGTTTGCAAATTGCTCCCTGGAGTTAGGAGAGAGCTTTTCAGTTAGTTGTTGCCCCTTGCCACCGAATCACACCAGTAGATCCATTCTGAAAACTCGCTCAGAGCTCATTGAAGACTCTCAAGTGCTCAGGTGAAAAGTGAATGATGGTTATTTAAAAGAAATCTAAGGCAAACTTGTTCTTCATTTTAAAACAGGACAGAAATAGAAAGAAAACATCATGTTGTGATAGTTCTGGCTTCACCCAGTCCTTTTCTTTTTCAGCTGGGCACCAAAGAAGGCTACCTCACCAAGCAAGGGGGCCTGGTCAAGGTAAGGAAGTGTGGTTTGCTCATGCCAGCCGCAGAAAACAAGAACGGGGCCGTGCGGCTGCAGTTCTCATCTTGACCGTTTTTCTTTTACCTACTTATATAACATTTACCTGTTTCAAGAGTTTATTTTATGTCATTTTTGTCAAAATTCTGGAAAATGACTTGAATATTCTTTGCAAAGCCCTGCATGAGCATAGCCTATAGTTAATTTACAAGAAAACATATAATTCTTTTAATGAAATAATTGAGAAGTTAAAAAATTAACTCTAGAACATTTCGTTCCTTTACTTTTTTTAAAGAAAAGAAGAAGTGAGAATTGTCTAAAGTGTTTACCTAAAGGTAGACCAAAAACATCACTGGCGCTAATGAAACTGTTCTGATATCCACAGAATGACACAATTTAGGACTTTGCAGGTTTATGGTATCCCACTGTTCCCCAATTACGTGATTGTACCTTTAAAGTTCCTCTATTTCAATGTGCCAAGACCTACATAGAATGTGTCTGCTCCTTCCTGTTTTAAGAGTCAGTGCACTTAATCTCACCAGTACCAGTCTGCTTGGAATCAACCTGATCTTTTTGCTCTCTGTGTCCCTAGTAGATTGGATGCTCTCTGAGGAGTGACATAATTTATGTTCATAGAATACTTATTTTTAAGTCCTCTGTTACTTCTTTTAACTGAGCACAGTGACACCCAGGACAGATTAGGGCTCCCCTAGTATATAAGAGCCTGCAACAACAGTTTGTACCTCCAATGCTGTGCAATTCTTAGACAAGAATATTGTATGGTTCATTGTTTCTAAATCTTGCTTTGCTTATGTGTAAGATAAGAATGCTAATATTTGGTATTGTTGTATAAGGATCAGCTATAATACATATAAACCTCCGAGGATAGTACATGATCTATGTAGGTGCTCAAAAAACACTATTTTATTATAGAGTTAATAAAATTGAAATTTTAGTGGTTTGTTATAAATCACCTTGAATATTTATGATAGACTTTTTATTTTGATGTAAAAAATAAGCTAGTGATATCTCTGGTTCATTGTGAACTTAATGTATGTAATTAATTTTTGTAGATATTTTGAAACTTATTTCTCAGAAATAACTCATGATTTTTTTCAGGGATATTACATCTAACTTTTTAGATTTTTTTTAAAGCTATAATCTCTCTTTTTTTTATTAAGTCATCTACACATAGATCATGAATACATTTATGCATATGTGGGGTACAATGTGTTCTTTTTTTATGCAATCTGACATGCTTACATCAAAACAATCAACATAGCTTTCGCCTCATTTACTTGATTATTGTGTTAAGACATTTATGTTCTACTCTTGACAGATTTGATTCGTACCTTTGCAATATGCTCCGTAGTTAAGGTCCCGCCATTTACCCTCCCTCTATCAAACCTCCCCCCTCCCCTAGTAAATTATCTAGTTTAAATATTGCATTCCTGTATCCAAAACCTGTGTGTTTTAATAATTTTATTTTTTTTTCTCTCAGACCTGGAAAACAAGATGGTTCACTTTGCACAGAAATGAACTGAAATACTTCAAAGACCAGATGGTGAGAAATATGACAATACATTTTCCCTTTAAAATCAACTCTCTAGGTGAAAGAACTATCTGCCCTTAAAATCTCTGAAATGGTCCTTATGTCTGCCTGAAACACCAACAAATGATTGGACTATATGAGTTCTTGAGTCCTGATAAATGCAGAAATCTTTAGCAAAGATGATTTGAGCTATATGTCAGACATCGCTCTCTTGGAGTGGTGTAACCATAGCTCCTCAAGGCACAAAATTCCTTGTGATTGGGCCAATGGAATTGTTCTCTTGCCACAGTTTATTAACTGCCACTAAGCAGCAATTTCCCCCTTCATTAAAAATCAGTATGTCCACTTCCCAAACCCATTTTATTCATCCTATTTAAAATTATTAATTTTTATTTTCCTTATGCAAAATTTCCGAGAAGGTAGAAGTTTAAAAATTGTGAGAAGATATGACTCTCATGTTTTAAAATTCATTTTAATCAAATATAAATTGATAAAGGCAATCTCTTCATTCCCAGTTTCATAAAAGGCTAATTTCAAAACCAGGAGGAGGGGTGGCTTTTGTAATTTTTTCCTATTATGTATATTATTCCTCTTAGGAAAGGGAAAGTTGACATTTGTACCTAGTAAAACATTCATTAGGGGAATAAATGATTGACAAATTTGGGTGGGGTATTTTTATGATGGCATTTTTTTTTTTAAAGTCTCCAGAACCAATTCGGATCCTGGACCTAACGGAATGTTCAGCTGTACAATTTGATTATTCACAGGAAAAAGTAAACTGTTTTTGGTAAGTTGTTTCATAAAGGAAATGTCTAAAAGTCTTCTTGCTAACCACTTTATTTTAGTGAAGGAATGAAAGGCTCTATGTCCTAACGTCTACAGTGTGGGATGTGCACACATCTCAAGAGTGCTTCCAGCTGAGTGTGCCCACATCATACCGCATTTAAAGTGGCTGAAACAGTAGGTGGGTCAGCCGGCGATACTGAGTGTGCCATCATACTGCATTTAAAATGGCTGAAACAGTAGATGGGTCAGCCGGCATTGCGTTGTGCACTCAAGTATGACATCCATAAGAAGATGGCATTCACATTTTAGTCAGCTTTATTTCCTTGAGGATTCTTCCCAATTTTCAGTATAAATTTATTGACTCTAATGTTGAGTGATTTGTATTGTCATGGTAATTTATGGCAGCCGGCACAGAAATGTTTGTTCCAGTATAATGAGTATATTATGAAATTTTTCTAACTATAAGAAGTATCTTGAGATAAGAGTGTCTTATTTCTCACCATCTTTCATTCTAGAGTTTTTTGAGCATGCACAAATCGAAAGACCTAAATATCTATCAATACCTACCCTTCACCCTGTTGCCTCAGTTATTAGTACTTTGCCATGTTTGTGTTATCTTCTTTATCCACTTTTTTTTCTTTCTGAACCAATTGAAAGTAAGTTGCAACCATCATGGGCTTTACCCCTACGGACTTGAGTATGTATCTCCTAAGAATAAAAAAATCCCCTATAGAACTATAATATTATTATACCTGAGAAAATTAACATTAATGCTATAATTTCAACCAACAATAGGTATCTTTTTAAAATACACATAGGGGTGCCCTATGAGCTGGCAGTTTATTATCCTCTTTTTTTTTTTTTTGAGACAGAGTCTCACTTTATCGCCCTCAGTCGAGTGCAGTGGCATCACAGCTCACAGCAACCTCCAACTTCTGGGCTTAGGTGATTCTCTTGCCTCAGCCTCCCGAGAATTTATTATCCTCATAATAAAATATCAAGAGGCCAGTGGCCACCATGAGGTCAGTCCAATGTCTACAATTCTCTTGGCCTTTCTCCTGCCACCTACTTCAGGACCCAAGTGGCTCCATGTTTTCCATGAGACACAAAGAGAGATGTAGGAATGGTTTCAGCCACGTCTGTTCCTTTTTATCAGGAAAGCCACTGTTTCCCCAGAAATTCCCTATCAGATTCCCCTTATAACTCACTGGCCGAGACTGGGTGCCCTGACCATCCCGAACAGCAGGGGCGGCTAGAAAAAAGCAATAGTACAGTCAGAATTGGCTTTAACTAACCAGGATTTATTGCCTGGAATTCTGTTAGAAAAAGAAAGGGACAATCACCTGTATTAATAGGCAATTAATAATGTCCCCCAGAGGAAGAACCAATCAATTCCAGAAACTACTTTTATAGTGTATGTGCAATATTAGTATCACACATTCCCCACCACCATCCAATATCCCTCAACTTGATAGCACATCCAGGTTCCACCCTCCACACGCAGGGTCTTACCTCTTATCTAGTCAACATTAATTGCTAGTATCAACAAATCCGCTGCCTTGGCTTTAGGATACAGAAATCTTTCTGAAGGCATGGGCAAGATGTAACTTAGGGCTGACCTTATCACTCAAATGATTTTTGTCTATATAGTCAGAGACAGTCAAAAGAAGAACTAAAATACACCTAGGAAAAGGCTTTCATGCCCTTCAGAAGTTCACCTTCCCTCCAGCAGAGACTAACTCTGGGAAAGAAATAGGAAAAATAAGTAGTTGGGAAATCTTATTGTCTCTTTTCTTCTGTCCTAATTAGTGAAACCACCTACATCCACAGAAGACAGTTATCCTCATTGAAACAAACACAAAGTAGTTATTTTAGCAAACTCGCTCCCATCTGTCTTGTTTAGTCTTTGAATCACAGCACAGGTTCTGAACCATTTGAGTGATTAGCTGAACAAACATGTAGGAGAGAAACAACAAAAGGATCTGGGGCATCCTGGACATGTTTCTTTTTTGTCTGAGGCCTCATTAGACTCGCCCATGCTAACAACATGTAGCTCCACATATAACAAACATTAGAAGTTACTTACCAGGCCCTTTATCAACTCTTTTTCCCCTTGGAATATTCTAATTAGTATTCAGCTAATTAGTGTTCAGAGTGCCCCAAAATATATACACATTTTAAGCAAGGAAAAAAATGTATTACATTTGTAATACTCAAGTCACATTTGACTTCTACAGTTACAAGTGGGGCTCAACGTGACCTACATTTATCCTTTGTAATCAGTATTTATGGAGTATTAGAATTACTAACCGTGTGGAGTAGCTTACATTCTTTCTTTTATCTTATCAGCTTAGTATTTCCATTCAGGACATTTTATCTCTGCGCAAAGACAGGAGTAGAAGCTGATGAGTGGATCAAGATATTACGCTGGAAATTGGTGAGTTATAAAAATGCCTGAGAAATAACATGGTGATGATTTCAAAAATATTTCTGTTGAAAGAGTCAGACCATCTCCCCAAATCACAGAGACAGCTACTTGCAGGCTTATGCAGTAGTCTGTTCATTCTTCTGGGACATGGGAGAGACAGAGACAGGGCTGTAAATGAGAAAGAACAGAGCCCAATTCCGGCACAGCCTAAGCCTCAGACAAGCGCCCAGAATCTGTCAGTCATCACGTAAGGTGTGCAGGTCAGCCCAGTTTTGTCTAGAATAAGACATTTGGGACCAAGAGGTCTCACTGAGGAGAATTCACATATTTTTTTTTTTTTTTATCAGAAAAGCCTTTTAAATTGTCAGAGAAGGAGGTTTGCCAGAGGAACTTAGCCAAGTTTCCAGTTTGAGTGTCACTTTGTGCAGGTCAAGGACAAAATGTGCCTTATTTTATCTACTTTCTAAACACCCTCCAGGGGAAAACAAAGTACGCGTGATAAAATTTCCCAGTCTCACGTATTTTCTGCATTGTTGGCAAGTTAGGGTGTTGTTAGCCTACAACTTATCCTTAAAGCTTAGTAAAATTTCCTAGAAATACTACCATCTTGAAACCCTTGATGTTTTCAAAAAACATTTTTTCCTAATTAATTTTTTTGTGAAATTGATATATGAGTACTCTTTCAAAACTGAAAATCTTGGAAATTCCTTTCTAGATACTGAGACTTATGCTTTTGTTTGTCTTTTCAGTATAAAAATTAAATATGCCACCCATTTTGAAATTGTCCCAATTCAATTTAGTGGGGAAATACTTGCCATGTCAAACTTTTGCTCAGATATAATTTAATTTTTTATTCTTTCTATTTTGTAATTATCCAAGTGACATAAAATCATTATAAAAATAGATACAGTGTACATACTTTTCAACTTCTTCTTGTATAAATATTTAAATACAAAATTTAATTATCCTCTGGTGTTCTTTACCCTGTTGAACAAAATATTATAAACATCTTTCCACATGAATAATTTCAGAGCTGTATCTTCCTTTCAAATCATTGAATAATATTGTATTTTATGAATTACTACAAGTATTAGGCCAGTTCCCAATTTCTACATGTTTTAGCAATCACTTTATGTATCCTGAGCAAAAGACAGAAAACCAGATTAAAAACTTTGTAGGGAGCACATAACAATTTATACTTGCACGCCTCCCTTACCAATCAATTTGTCTTATTTTAAATTTGTTAAAAGCCAGAGTTCATTGTCTTAAATCATTGAATAATAGATACACTATGTGTGCTTTATTTCAGTCACAAATAAGAAAACAGCTCAGCCAAAGGGAAGGAACAATCCGATCTCAGTCGTTCATCTTTAAATAGCTCTTTCTTACCGAGTGAAGCCCTGGCCCAGGAGTATGGTGGAACGCTTGCTGATGCTGGGATCCGTAGCAGGCTTCGCACGGAAGCTGACTAAGGAACTTTCTCTAAAAACAAGTCAAAGGCAGATGCTGATTGGGACCCATGTGCCACATTTGCTGAGTCATGGAAAACTGCAGCTCTTTTAAGATGTTGCTGTCTCCTTGAGAATACCAAAGCAGATGTTGTATAGAAACTGATTAAACCACCACTCCAAGGTCTGCTCACTCTTAGGACACACAATGGAAGATGAAGGGCTTTTGTTTTCATTCTCTCTGGTCCCCAACCCTGTTGACATTAGGGGACCCACAGTTGACCAGAGTTCCACTCTGAGTCAGGGTCAGCCTGTGTGACACCAGGTTGTGCTACTCATCAAGGAGGAAAGAGTTGTATACTTGAGGCTTCAACGTCTTTAGAAGTCACATTGAGATAGCAAACATTTTGGGGGGACACATTTTTTTCTTCTTTCCCCCCTTCATACAAAAAACAAAAACAGTTCCCAAAACTAAAATGGAAAATATTTGTGGTATTCATTTTCTCTTTTTAAAAGGCTCAGAAGTATAATGGGCCCTTCATTTTTTTTGTTGTTGTTGTTGTTGGTTTTTTTGAGACAGAGACTCAAGCTGTCCCCCGGGTAGAGTGCTGTGGCATCACAGCTCACAGCAGCCTCCAACTCCTGGGCTCAAGCGAGTCTCCTGCCTCCGCCTCCCAAGTAGCTGGGACCACAGGCGCCCACCACAACGCCCAGCTATTTTTTGGTTGTAGCCATCATTGTTGTTTGGCGGGCCCGGGCTGGATTCGAACCCGTCACCTTAGGTGTATGTGGCTGGCACCTTAGCCACTTGAGCCACAGGCACCGAGCCAGACCCTTCATTTTTAATGATAAAAATGTGAGAGCTAAATGGGCAATAAGGCAGTACAATAAAGATAAATGAAGCACAATTTAAAAACATGTCTTTTGACCATTTGCACGGAAATATTTCAAGAGTGAGAACACATACATGGAAGGGTGAAAAAGTAGTAGATGACTTGCAGTTTAATGTTAATAATTGTTATATAGTAATAATAATAGAGTACTTGCCAGCACTAAGTTATCTTTACTCAATGTTTCTCTGAAAGGATGGAGAGACCTCTCAAGGAAAGTGTGTATAATAATCCTTTCATCAGAATTAGCTGAATAGGGCCGGCCCGAGAGATGGAAGAACCACTGAAGCACCCTGAACCTTATCAAACAGCAATTTCTGTTGTCAGCTGAGGGAGCAACACTAAATCGACTTGAAATATCTAAGAATATGTTATATAGAGTTCTCAAACTAGAATTAGGGGACTGAAAAAAGAGAGTAAGACACTGCTGCCCACGGCTCATGAGCAGATTCTGAGCCCTTCTATCATCTTTAGTAATACTCCTATTTAGACAGAAGTTTGAAGGGAGACAAAAATGAATGAAGAGTCTGAGACTAGATCATGGTGCAGATTTATACTACGGTATAAACTGCTCTTTCAATTCAAAGAGATCCCTTGTTACTTTCTTCAGTTATTTAAACACCTAAGACTTGGAAATTATATGAACTTTTTGTATATTTCAGCAAGGCTCTTAATGTATTTTGTATTATATGGGATAAAGCAGATGTCAAGTTAAAATGTATTTTGTCAAGTTTGCAAAGAAATTACGAACAAATTCTCACTGAGATATATGGTTTTATGTTTTGTTTTCTTAAAAACAAGAGTTTTTTTTGTGTAGGCATTATTTCTACTTTTTGTAAACAGGTTATGTTTATTTATATTCTTTGGTTTTGTTTATTAAAAGAATTTGATTTTGCTGTGTATGTACTTTTTTTATTAAATATATATTTTTAGGTTCGGCGCCCATAGCACAGTGGTTATAGTGCCAGCCACATACACTGAAGCTGGCAGTTTCGAGCCCAGCCGAGGCCAGCTAAACAACGACAACTGCAACAAAAAATAGCCAGGCATTGTGGCAGACGCCTGTAGTCCCAGCTACTTGGGAGGCCCCGGCTACTTGGGAGGCTAAGGCAAAGAATCACTTGAGCCCAAGAGTTTGAGGTTGCTGTGAGCTGTGACGCCCCAGCACTCTACCAAGGGTGACAGTTTGAGACTCTGTCTCAAAAAATAAAAATAAAAATAAAAAAAATAAAATGTATTTTTAATATTTGTGATTTTAAAAAAGACACAACTAATTAATATCATAAATAGCAATGAAGAAACCACTCTAAATAGACTATCAGCCACATAGGATTGGAAGTTGAAGAGAAGAAATGATCCCAATCCTCGAGGAGTTCCTACTTGAACACAGAAGAAACAATAAACAAACATGTGTAGAAGTAAAGAAGATAGTTACAGTAAGAGACGAATGTTATAGAATAGGGAATGTGCTTCAGCAAGAGACAGAATTATTTATTGGAAGGTTTTGACATGAAGAGGGTGAACAAACATGTAACTGGGCTAGATGCTTTACCTGTTCTCAGCAGTCCTGTGAAGTACTTTCTGCCTGGGGAGGGCCCCCAGCTATTTCTCCAAGTCCCAAATTGGGGAAGGATGTTTTATGCCAATGACAGATCAGAATGGGGAAGGGAAGTATGAGAGAAAAGAGTAGGGCATCTGTGTCAGGCCCTGTCTGCTAAAAAGTCTGTGCTTATCATATAGAAAGTAGCTCTTAAGACAGGGCCAAAGCATTAGCAATTATCCTCAGAATTCCCTCTGGGAAAACCTTGGCCCCCAGGAGTAGAGTCACTCCCATAGAGGGAAAGGCTAATACAGACAGTTCCCAACTTGTGATGGTATAACTTAGGGTTTTCCAACTTTACAATGGGATTAGCTAGGTATTAAATGCATTTTCCACTAGCAATATTTTCGACTAATGATGGGTTTATTGGGAGGGAACCATGTTGTAAATAAAGGAGCAACTGTACTTGTCCCTGGGTGAAACCTGCATTCTGTCCCAGAGCCACTGGACATCGGAGTGCACAGTGGAGCAGGACCCTTCTCTTCTTACCTACGTAGACTACAAGAGTGGGCACCTCCCTTCCTACCTCTCACCTGCTGGGTGCTGGGTGTACAGGTTAGGGAATTATAACCTGTCCCTGTTTCAGGCGGAGAGCTAGAGAACTATTATAGGGCAAAAATCAATGCTACTTCCCTCCCCCTCCACTACTTCAGATCCATTGCAACAAATCCATGTTTCTATCAAACTCTTCCGAGCCAAGTGCACTGTACAGCAGAGTGCCAGGCTTCAGCCTGCACCCTATAGATTTAGGCTGTTTGGCCATGATGTCAAGCAGTTTCTTAAACCATCTATGGTAAAAGACATGATTTTGCCCTCCCTCCCCACTTTTTTTCTTTTCATTTCTATTTCTGATCTATCAGACTGTGATTTTATAAAATTCAGTAAAAGTAAATTAGAAAAATAAAGAATACAAATATTACAATCCCAATTCTTTACTATCAAATTCAACAGATATGTTACTATGTCAAATGTCGTTTTTATGCACTTAGTTTAAATGTCTGTACTTGTGTTGCTAACAGTGTGCAAGGTCTCCCAGTCTGTGGATCACATTGTGTGTAGTAAGGTCTAGACGTCTGGGAGGTTAAAAAAGAAAAATAAATAAAAACAAACAAATAAATTTTTTGTTGACAAAAATACACCTGAGGATAGGAAGAGTTGAGGTGCTCATGTTTTATTAATTATTGATGGAGTATGGACATCAGGAGGAAAGGTGATGAAGGTTGTAGTGGCTGAAGCAATTGTTTAAAACATGACAAGGAAGTTTGATGTTATCAATTGACCCTTTCATGAAAGATTTCTTTGTAACACGAGATGCTATTTGACAGCAGAACTTCTTTTACCCACAGTAGACTTTCTTTCAAAATTGTAGTCAGTCTTTTCAAACTCTGCCACTGCTTTATCAACTAAGTTGACATAATATCATAAATCCTTTGTTTTTAGATCAATCATGCTCACAGCATCTTCATCTCAATAAAGACTTTCTTTGCTCATCTATAAGCAATTCTTCTTTCATTGGAGTTTTATAAGATTGCAGCAATTCAGTTTTATTTTCAGGCTCTATTTCTAATTCTAATTCTCTTGCTAGTTCCACTACATTTGAAGTCTTGAATTGCTCTAAGTCAAACATGAGGGTTGGAATCAACTTCTTCACAACTCCTATTAATGTTGATATTTTGACTTCCTATGAATCACAAATGTTCTCAATGGCATCTAGATGGTGAATCCTTTGCAGGGTTTCAATTTACTTTGCCTAGATCCATCAGAAGAATCACTATGGCAGCAACAAACAGCCTTATGAAATGCATTCCTTAAATAACAAGACCTGAAGGTTGAAATTACTCCTTGATGCATGGGTGTAGAATGGATGTTGTGTTAGCAGGCATGAAAACATGACTCTCCTTGAATATCTCCATCAGAGTTCTTGGATGACCAGGTGCATTGTCAACGAACAGTAACATTTCGAAAGGAATCCTTTTTTCTGAGTAGTAGGTCCCAATCGTGGGCTTAAAATAAATTTTACAGAACAAATCCTCTTATTAAAAGGGATACATCATGTCTCAGGTAAAAGATAATTTGTTGTGTCTCTCCCTCTCACAACCAAAATAGAGGTATAAAACCTTGAGCCTCTCTGCATTTGGTTGCAACATTATTTCTCACATTGTTCACGGCCCATTAAAACAGTTACAGCACTAGCTAGCTGACAATGCTTTGCAGGGCTGGGGCAGTTGTGTGTATGTTCCAAATTAATATCCAATATATGGTGCTCTCTCTTCCATAGGCAGGATTCCCAAGTCTAGGCATCAAAAGGTGGACATGGGAGTGGCACCACTATTATCCTTTGTCATGCACTGGAACAATTTTTGCTTTCTGTCCCCATGTCCTTATGCTCTTCAGGTTCAGAAGTCTTTGTTCAAAGAATAATGCCTCCACCAGTAGACACAACTGGACATTAATTGCTATCCTGCACTGAAGGGGCTTCTCATTCTTCTGAATGAAGAGCAAAAAGGAAATTACTGTACTGGTCCTGATTACTTGGAGAAATTGGGCTGGTACTGCACAATGGAAGTAAAAAGGGCATGACTAGAATACAGATCTGCCAGGGGATCTTACTACTAAGCCCCAAATCAATGTTAAACTACAAAAGCCAAGTCAGCCAGGATGACTAATGGGTCAGATTCATCAGGAAATGAAGGTTTGGATTGCCCCACAAATAGCCAAGGTGATTGCTGAGAGCAAAGGGAATATGGTATAGGTAATGAAAAGTAATTATTAGTACTAGCTACAAACTACAAGGGCTGTGATTATGTCATTAATGTTTGTGCATATACATACACAAATGTATCTTTTTTCTTCCATTCCTTATCCTGTAAGATGAGATTTATTCATAGTCATTAACCTTACACCACGATATTTATGTTCTGGGATAGCATCATCCAAGGACTTTGCATCCTCTTTTGGGCACT